CCGATTCCTGGGGGCGGGGCTTGCTGCAAGCCCCGCCCCCAGGAATCGGGCCCCGCTCTTGCTAGAGCCGGCCCTGTCTGTAATGGCCACTCATCATTGGCAAGGGGGTTGGACCAGCTGCCTCTGCCTAACCCCAGGCTACACCTCTTTAACCCCAGTACCTACCTTGGGCCTTTAACAAGGCCTGCAGTCTGAGGCTTTACCAGGCTGGATCTTCCCAGCTCCCTTTGCCCTTCCCCAGCACTGCTCCACTTCAGGTACCTTGCGCCCAGGCAGCTAGCCTCCCACTCCAGGGCTTGAATGGGACTCCTGTCTACTGGGCCCACAGCCCTTTTATCCAGGCCAGCTGTGGCCTGATTAAGCCAGCCACACCTGGGCCAACTACCTCGCCAGCCTCCCTAGTTGCTCTTAATCCTTTTAGAGGTCTATAAAATCATGACTGGTGTAAAGAAAGTAAATAAGGAAGTGTTATTTACTCCTTCTCATAAGACAAGAACTAGAGGTCACCAAATGAAATGAATAGGCAGCAGGTTTAACACAAACAAAAGGAAGTATTTCTTCACACAACGCACAGTCAGCCTGTGGAACTCCTTGCCAGAGGATGTTGTGAAGGCCAAGACTATAACAGGGTTCAAAAAAGAACTAGATAAGTTCCTGGAGGATAGGTCCATCAATGGCTATTAGCCAGGATGGGCAGGGATGGTGTCCCTAGCCTCTGTTTGCCAGAAGCTGGGAATGGGCGACAGGGATGGATCACTTGATTAGGGGGTTGGGGCACATGACTTACGAGGAGAGGCTGAGGGAACTGGGGTTATTTAGTCTGCAGAAGAGAAGAGTGAAGGGGGATTTGATAGCAGCCTTCAACTACCTGAAGGGGGTTCCAAAGAGAATGGAGCTAGGCTGTTCTCAGTGGTGGCAGATGACAGAACAAGGAGCAATGGTTTCAAATTGCAGTGGGGGAGTGTAGGGGACTCGACCCCCGGCAGGGTGGTTGGGCACTACACTGCCTCGCTACACCCTCTTTGCTGGGTTGGGGAATACCCAGTATATAGCCCAGACCTTCAGGCAGGGCCCAGGGCCACCCGGGGGGGGGGCAAGTGGGGCAATTTGCCCCGGGCCCCACAGGGGCCCCCACGAGAGTTTTCAGGGGCCCCCACAAGAGTTTTTGGCGGGTCTTCGGTGGCAGGTCCTTCAGTGCTACCGAACACACCCAGAGCGAGTGAAGGACCCGCTGCCGAAGACCCGGAGTTTCTTCCACTCCGGGTCTTCGGCGGCAATTCGGCAGCGGGTCCTTCACTCGCTCTGGGACCGGCCGCCGAAGTGTCCCGAAGACCCGGAGTGGAAGGATCCCCGCCGCCAAAGACCCCAGGCCCCCTGAATCCTCTGGGTGGCCCTGGCAGGGCCCAGTAAGCAGTACAAGGTAAGCCGAGGCCCTAGGTCAGGGCGGGCAGCAAACAAACAGTCAGGAGCTCAGGCCCTCAGGCAGGGACTGAGCAAATAGTTCAATATAAGCCCAGGCCCTGGCTTAGAGCAACCGGGGAAGGGAGAGACTGCCACCCTCAAGTTGGTGGCAGGGGGACGCAGGTCCACCCACTCCACTGTGTCCCAGCCCGGGGCCCTAGCAGCAGCAGAAGACCCGCTGCTGTGTCAATGGGGATCCTGGCCACAACACACTGACGTTGGCTCTGGCAGTGCTGCAGCCAGACTAGGGTCGGCTGCCCCCGGGCTACTTCCAGACTCCCCCTCGTACGATACCTGGGTCTGGGTGGTGTCCTTGGAGGGTTCCAGCATCATGGGTTCCTCCGGGTAGCTAGCGAGGGGTAGGCTTGGCAGCTCCTCTGGGTAGCTGGCGACAGATAAGCTTGGCAGCTTCTTGGTAGCTCAGCTTCAGGCACCTAGTCAGCTCCTGGGGGGCATCCAGTGGTGAGGCCCCCAATGTCCGTGGTCACTATAGTCCAGTTAAAGTAGGGTGGGGAGAGATTCTTGGTGTGAAGACCTGGGCAGGAAGCCTTTCCAGGAGAGTGCTTTAGGGCGGGTTTTGAAAGAGAGAGAGGTTGCTTGGGGGACAAGAGGGACTGCTCCAAACATGGGACGGTGTGAACCAGGGAACAAAACTGAGAGAGAGACAGAAACCATGGGAGAAGCAAGGGGAGGAGAGACCAAGGGGTGCTCAAGGGTTGCAGGAGGCTGGGGAGCAGGAGAAACTGAGAATAGGAGAAACTGAGAATAGAGCTCCTAGAAGATGGAGGAGTAAGAGACAGGAAGCCAGAGTCCCAGGAGTGTGAGGTAGGGCTGGGGAGTGGGGAGTAATTCGGCCAGAGCCACAGGCAATGATTTGGATTGTCCAGGGCAGTAAGGGCAGGACATGGGTAAGAGAATTATAGTGATCGGGGCAAGAGATGATGAGCAGCCAGAGAGGGATTTTAGCAGTGTGGAGGGTGAGGGGAGGCAATGTGAGAGAGGAGGAAGTGGCAGGAGTCACCGGGGTCAGAGTCAGAGATAACACCATCTCCTAGGTCCTGGAGATGTAGAGGATGGAGTAGGGAGATGGTGGGAGGGAGCCAGGAGAGAAGATACAGAGCTCAGGTTTGCAAAGAGTGATTGTGAGCAGATGGTGGAACATCTAAAAGGAGGTGTCGGTTCCAGATGCAGGACTGGACAGAAGAGGAGGGGCTGGGTGGAGTGGTGGGTTTGGAATCCCTGCTGCAGAGGGATAGCTGACACCGGGTGGGGGGAATTAGGTCATCCAAGCAAGGAGAAGGAACAGGGAGAGGGTCGCCAGCAGACAGGCAGAAGGGAAAGGACAAGGAACAATGGAAGGAGACACCAAGGGCATGTCTATACTAGAAATGCTGCCCTATACCATGGTAGCGCTGTAGCATAGACACTATGCCGACGGGAGGGGTTCGCCTGTCACTGTAGTTCATCCACCTCCCTGAGAAGTGGTAGCTAGGGCGACGGAAGAATTCTTCCATCGGCCAAGTGTTGTCTGCACTTGGATCTACATTTCATACCCCTGAGTGACATAGCTGGAGAGACCTAAGCTTTAGGGGGAGCCCAGGCCTGAGATGTGAAAGGAGCATTGGAAGAGAACCAGGAGAGGCCAAGGAAGGAGAGAGTGACCGAGAGCATCAGAAGCCACAGAGACACTGAGGGATGGGGAACAGGCCATGAGGCCCAGCCAGGAAGGGGAGCAGAGATGGTGCGGGGGTGGGCAGGGAGACAAAAGCCAGACTGAAGGGGATCTAGGAGCAAGGCTGGATTTCCCATTAGGCACAGTAGGCACGTAGCCACACAGCCCTGCTGGAGTCACCTCCCAGAGGGGCCAGTAAGTGTGGCCAGGGGGCAGGACGCAGGAGAGTGGGTCTCTGGAGGGACTTGTGGGGGGGCTCTGGGCAGTGAGGGGATGGAGGACGGTGGGCAGTGGGAAGTTTGTGTGGGATGCTGGGCAGTGGGGAGTGGAGGAGTGGAGGAGGTTTGTGCGTTTCGGGGTGTTTGGCAGTGGGGGAGGTCTGTGGGCAGAGGGGCGCTGGGCAGTGGTGTGCCTAAAAGTTAAAAGTGGCGGTTTGGAGCTCTGAACCGCTGTGAGCGCTGGGGGCCACCCCACAGCTCCCAGCCGCCACAGCAGACCTCCTGGTCACCGCGGTCGGTGAGACACAGGCGGCAGGGGACCCTGGAACTCTGAACTTGGAACCGGGGCCCTCGCAGCTGCCCAGCCACCAGGAGCAGTTTGGGGACCCTGCCCCTAGGGGCACACAAGATATAAATCCGGCCCTGTGTAGGAGGGAGTTCTCCAGCTGCCAGGGGGTGCAGCGTGTACTAGGAGCTGAAGGGTCACGGGAAGGAGGAGATAGGGTGAGGGAGGTCAGGGCAGTGAGGGCAGCAGGGAGCGCAAGGAGAATATGAACAGAGAAGTGTTCACCTGCTCTGGCCAGGAGAGTCAGAGATTTTTAAGGCCAGAAGGGATCACCATGATCACTAAGTCTGACCTCCCAGGCAACACATTCATTCCTGCTTCGAGTCAAATAGCTGTAGCTGAACCTGAGCATCTCTTTAAGGGGCCCATTAGTGCCTGTGGGGAGGGCTCATCTCAGCTGCGTGAAGGGCCCAGTACTCAGAAGTGGGGAGAATCAGAGGCATGCAGGGTTCTGGGCCAGTGGAGACATAGGTGAGGGCAGGTTGCTAGGGAGAGAGGCGGGGGGCAAGATCCTGTTTACAAAGTGGCTAGAGGTTGGGGGAGGGCGAGAGAGGAGGGCTGAGGGATGCCAGGAAGGGCTGGGGCTCAGCGCAGGCTGTGGGTGTGGCTGGAGGCAGAGGTGTGACCATAGTGAAGGGGGGCCATTGGTGGAATAGTTTAAGCTTTCTCCATCTCTGCGTCGTTCTGAAAGGAATAACAAGCCCCAGGCGTCTTTTCTGGGAGCCGCACTCCAGGGCTGGGGTGGAGGGAAATGCTGCATGTGCTCTTACCGCTGTGCCCGGCCTTGGCAAGGACTCGGGGGAGGAGGGGAGCCTGTGACAAGCCCAGAGAGATTTTCCTTGACCTGGTTGTAAATTATTCAGCATGTTTATCATGATCACCATTTTGACCAACTGTGTGTTCATGGCAATGAGCGACCCACCACCATGGGCCAAGAACGTGGAGTAAGTTCCTTTCCTCCATTCGCTGCTTGGTCTCCTGATGGCTCTGGAGAGGGTGGCTCCCTTCGCTGCGTGGCTGCTCCTTACAGAAATCTGTCCTGCTTATCAGACAGGGGCCTGAGGGAAAGGTGTGGAGGGGCCTTGGGAAATGGGCATGTGTAGTTTGGAGACCCCCGGACTGAGCTGTCACCACGTTTGTGATCTCAGAACCCAAGTTTGTGTTCTCCTCTAGACTTTGCAACCACGGGCACATTTCTGAACAGCCTCCCTCCACTACTCACCGCGCCTCAGCTACAGGACAGACAGGGCTCCGAGCAGGCAGCAGGTTTTTGAGGGCTCAGCACCCACAATTTGGGGCCAGATAACCATGGCTCAGCACCCACTATCAATGCCAGATTTTCCAAAGAGCCTCCCATTTAGGTGCCTAAACAGGGGCTGAAGTTTTCAAAACACCCAGCAGCCCCAGTGGTGACACTAATGACCCGGATCCCGCCTGCCCTCACCATGCTGAGCTCATTTGGAAATCTGGCCCGTGGTGCTGAAAGCAGTGTTGGTAGTGAGTGGCCCATCTGTATTAAGGCTCCCAATTTTACTAATGCTAGCAGAGCTCAACTGCTGTCAGCAGCCATGGGAAATGACTGATAAGACATATTTTCCAACCCTTTTCCCATGAAGGTCTCAGGACCCATTTTTCCTGCATACACATAACATTTTTGCAAGTGTCTTGGATAGTTTTCCCTTTGAGCTGCTTGTCTTGTCTACTTATCATAAGTCACTGTTTCTGCTTTCAGATATACCTTCACTGGGATATACACCTTCGAGTCCATGATAAAGATAGTAGCCAGAGGATTTTGCATTGACCAATTTACATTCCTACGCGACCCATGGAACTGGCTGGATTTCAGTGTTATCGTTATGGCGTAAGTATACTCAGTAAGGGACATGGCACAGGCAGGAAGCCTAGCTAACCAAGTTGTAACATTGGTGGTATAGGATGAATTGGAATCAAATGTCTGGAGAATAGCCAGAGATGTTGGAGATGGTATCATCTACACTGGGTATATACCCCAATTCCTGCACTTGATGGCCAGTCACTGAAGTAGCCACACTCCAAATGTAGACAGGGAGAGCTGTGATTGCATCGATGGAGCTAACCCCAGTGCCAAGCAGGGTTAAACTTCACTGGGGTATATTGTGACTTTCCTTGTCTATACTTGGGGTTTTGCTCTGGTTGTTGGTCCCCTATGGCCAGGATTGGGGTACATCTCCAAAGCAGACAAGGCCCACCTAGGTCACCTTGCCTGTCCCTCTCAGTGAAGCCTGGCTTGTTACCTCACTTTGCCCAGAAAGAATCAAATTGTGCTACTTCCTACCCATATTTCTGCAGTGAATCTCTTCCTATTATTTCTCTGTCCTCACACCACATCCCTTCAATATCCACTGGGACCAGGTAAAGTGCCAGCTACTCCCTCTTCCAGATTGGCAGTGAAGACATTAAATTCAACCAGTCCTAACCCTGATGACTACCTCACTCCCCTTCTCAGCTCCCCATGCTTTGATCTGTCAGGTTCAGCCTTGCTTCTTGTTTGTAGTCCCTCAGATGGCATTTCCATCCAAGCAGAGTCAGATTAGTTTGACTAATAAGGTCTAGCAAGTGTTAGAATCATAGAATATCAGGGTTAGAAGGGACCTCAGGAGGTCATCTAGTCCAACCCCCTGCTCAAAGCAGGACCAATCCCCAGACAGATTTTTGCCCCAGATCCCTAAATGGCCCCCTTAAGGATTGAACTCATAACCCTGGGTTTAGCAGGCCAATGCTCAAACCACTGAGCTATCCCTCCCTCCATCACCTTCATGCAACATTCTCATTCCCGTGGCGCTGCTCCCTCATCTGAGGCTCTGAAAACGCTTTGCAGGCTTGGCAGCCTCTGCGTGGGGTAGGGGCTATCAGGATCCCAACAAGGGCAGTCAGGGCCAAGGGCCAAAACATGAACAAACCTGAGGCCGAGAGTAGCCGAGGAGTTCCTGGTCAGTTCTGGGCCAGGGTTGATACCAAGGGTCAGAATCCAAGTCACTTTTCAGGTCTGAGTCAGGTGGCAAAGTCCAGAACAAGCCGAGGTCAAGCCAAGAGTTCTAAGAGCATAGAACAGGAACCCTCTTGGACACCTGCTGGAATGTCCCTTGGGTTTGTATAGAGCCGGGAGCCAAACAGGAGCCATGAGGCTGCTGCCTATCAAACCCTTAAGGTGGTCCCCAGCAGATCATGGGTCATGGCACACAGGCTGGATAGAGCTGCTGCTGGGTGACAGCCTGGAGGTGCTGGCTGCCTGGTAGCTCAGCAGCCCTGGATTCTAGACCTGCAGGGCCCTCTGGCGAAGGCTTCTTCTCCCCATTTTACAGATGGGGAAAAAAGAGAGACTCTCTCCTGTAGGACAACCTGCAGGGAGGGGCAGGGGAAAGATGCTTGAGCTCCTCTGGCCTCCTCTTCACTTGGAAAGGGAATCACAATGAAAGACTATTTTGATCCACTGAGTTTGGTGACATGATGCTGGCCACCAGCGACTGGCTCCAGGCAGACCAGGATGGGTGGTACCAGCTCCTGTGGGCTAAGTGCTGACCCCAGCACTGGTCCCAGGAGGCATGATGCTGACCCCACTGGTAAACCCGATGGCATTTCCCAGGGCAGACCAGACCTTGCTAGCTGCACAGGACCCAGTGGATTCTCTGCTCCATGGGGATGGAGTGGTGGCAGCACAGAGGGGATGTTGTAGAGTCCGACCGTCCCTGCTCCCACCAGTGGCTCTGGAACACTTTTAACAGTGGGGGTGCTGAAAGCCAGCCCCCTTACCGCATCCATGTCTGTCCCTCCTCACCTATCACCCCCCGCAGAACTGGGGCTGGGAGCGGGGCCGTGTCTCTGGGAGGGGGGACCCAGACAGGGGTAATGGGACCAAGGCTGGGGCTCCAGCTGGGGTCAGGGGCAGCAGCTGGGACCCCAGGCACGGGGCCAGAAGTGGAGCCCTGGGTGAGCGGCGGCATAAACATAAAACCTGGGGTGTTTCAGCACCCCCCGCACCACTAGTTAACGTGCCTATGGCTCCCAACCTTCCCAGATTAGGGTTGCCAACTTTCTAATCACACAAAACCGAACACCCTAGCCCACCCCTACCCCAAGTCCCTGCCCTCCGATCACTATATTCCCCCTCCCTTGGTGACTCACTCTCCCCCACCCTCACTCACTTTCACTGGGCTGGGGCAGGGGGTTTGGGTGTGGGAGGTGGTGAGGGCTCTAACTGGGGGTGTGGGCTCCAAAGTGGGGCCAGAAATGAGGGTTCAGGATGCAGGAGGGGACTCCGGGCTGGGGCAGGGCATTGGGGTTCGGGGGGGTGAGGGCTCCAGATGGGGGTGCGGGATCTGGGGTGGGGCTGGGGATGAGGGGTTTGGGGGGCAGAAGGGGGCTCCAGGCGGAGGGGGGGCTGAGGGATTCGGAATGTGGGAGGAGGTTGTGGGTGGGGGCAGGGGGTTGGGATGTGGGAGGTGTACAGACTCTTGGTTAGGAGTGCTGGCTCTGGGATGGGGCTGGTGATAAGGGGTTTGGGGTGTAGGCAGGGGCTCCAGGCTGGGGGGGTGGGCTGAGGGATTCGGAAT